ACTTCATTTGATTTCTTTTTAATTATACCCAAAATCCATTTTGTTATTCATTTTCATCATAAACTCCACAACCTCTAGAAATAAACATATTTAAAACATAATTTAATATTACTATCTAATATTTATCTACATTGCATTCCAAATTCCTTGTTTTTTTCCATAATTATAGTCACCAGCATGTAAAAATTATTAATCACTAAATATGAGAATAATTAAACTCAACAAAATCTTCTATTAAATCAAACCATTAATCATGTTTTATTCTTTCTTCATTATATTAGACACCAATTCTATTAAAATCTATTAAGTTATAGATAAATTTTAATAGAATTATTTTGATTAGATTCATAAAATTAATAAACCTAAATTCCAATTTTGTGATTATTGTAATATACTCCTTTAAATTTCTGAATAATCACAATAAACAACCTATCATAATTTTCATTTAATTCAATCCATAATCCTTCCTTCTATCCTTCTTTGTTATACAATCCTCCTCTTCTAAAAATTACTTTATATTTACATAATTTTGTCATCGTATTGATGGATCCACTTTCCTTATCTGAATCCTTGATTATATTATAATAAAGTAAATTTGGCATAAACTGATTTAAACCTATTAATTTTATTACTTCCAATATCCTTCTTAAGGTTCTACCCAATTTCCTACTTTCTGACCATTATCATTATATAATCCTTTCCAAAAGCTATTGTTATTATCTGCAAATAATCGATTAATAGTCACGTTACCTAGAATAAGAATCTAAATTACATATCGTCTCTCATTTGACTAAGAGGTTCCCATTTTATTTATATATATAATTATAATTATTTCTTAATTATTATAATATCACATAGTGTAAATGAATGCCGCTTATTATGGTTGAAAAGACTTACATAAAAATGATTATGATTTAATCCTGATACAATAATCAGAATTATACTTTATTATTTTCAGTAGAAATTTTACACCAATTTTAATTTAAAATTGGATACATCAAGATAATATATTGAATCTCTCAACTTTAACTTAAAATAATGAAAAAGTAAACCAAATGGCTTAAATTAGATAGTTTGGAAAAAGTATCTTACAATAGGTAGGATAGATCATGTTTAGTTATTAAAATTATGAAATAGGAGACTGAGAATATTAACAAGTAAGAATAATACTGCTCAACTTATAAACAGGGAGATGCTACATATCAATTTATTCTTTTGTATATTGAAATCATTTTATATCTATCTAGAATTGTAAAAATTCTTATTAAAATAAACAGAAATAAAAAAAATTATATCAGAGAAGCCATTTCATCTATATAATTAAGAAATTTTTATTCTCTGCTACCATAATTTTAGAAAGTCTCAAACCTAATATTAATCTTAATAATAATATTTATTTATTTGATATCATAATATATCTTAATTATAAAATTAGTGATTTACTATTTAAAAGTATACTGATATAGATCAGCAATTAGAGTATTACTTACAGACTCAAGAGCTTGGTAAATTTACTAAATAAATAACTCTTGGAATTTGCTTGGAAGACCTAGGAAGTGGAAATCTAGAACTTCCTAAACTTCATTAAATTAATCCAAAGATATGGCCAATAGTTTTCTTGATATTATAGTAAAAAATATTGTAATTTTTGACTTACATTAAGATCATGTGATCATATATTTCTATTTGAATTCTGTTTAGATATCAATTGAATTTTTGGATGCTATTGTATTTATTATTAGATTGCATATTGAAATACTTATAAAATAAGGCTAAATCTTAATTAAGAGTAACTTTTAAATTATTTCGATTCAAACTTATAAACTTATTGATGTTTGCAGCTAAAGTATTCATCAATTATATAGGAATATATAATCCATATGTGTATTTTTTATTTCACTCTAAATAAATTATAAACCTATATCCAGATATTTATTTTGAAATGATATTCAAAAATCATTTTGTAGTTACCTTTCAAATAACT